AGGTAACTTGTTGCCAGGAGACCTAGCCTAAAAGAATAGCTAGAAGAAGTTCTCTAAACAGAAAGGAAACAATAAAGGAAAGAATCTTAGAACATTAGGAAGGAGAAAAGAACACAGTAAGCAAAAATATAAGTAACACAATAGTCTTGCTTTCTCTTCTTAAATCTTCTAAATTGTGCTTAATGATTAAAACAAAAACTATGGCCACCTACTGGCTTTAAATGGATGTAAAGGAACTATTTAAAACAATTATAAATGGAGGAGGTTAAAAGCACATAAAAGGAGGTAAGGTGACAAATTGGTAAACTGAAAACAGCAGAAGACCATGGTAAGTTATGTGATACCCAAAGCAACCATTAAAAAAACTGCATAAAGAGAGACATTTAAAAATACTATAGGTTAAAAAAATACTACAGGGAAATCAAAATGGAATTCTAAAAAATGTTCAAGTAACCTATAGAAATACAAGAAAATGAAAACAGAAGTGAAAAACAAAGAAAACAGACAGAAAATGAATAACAAAATAGCAGACTTAGACCCTAAAATATCACTAATTATACTAAATGTAAATGTTCTAAATACACCAATTAAAAGACAGATTGTCAAAGTCAATTTAAAACCATGATTCAACTATATGCCATCTGCAAGAAGCTTACTTCAAATATAAAAATATAGGCAGGTTAAAAGTAAAAGGATGGAAAAAGACCTATCATCCAAACATTAATCAAAGGAGAGCAGTGATGGCTATATTAATTTCAAATAAGGTAGACTTCAGAGGAAAGAAAATTATTTGAGACAGAGAATGTTATATAATGATAAAAGGGTCAATTTACCAAGAAGACATAGCAACCTTGTATGTATAAGTCCAAAACAAAAAAACTGCAAAATATGTAAAGCAAAAACTCATAGAACTGAAAGGAAAAATGACAAAGCTCACAATTAGACATTTTAACATCTCTCTTTCAACAGCTGATAGAATAACTAGACAAAAAAACAGCAAAGATGTAGAATAACTCAACAATACCATTAATCAACAGGATGTAATTGACACGTGGGGCACCTGTTTGGCTCAGTTGGTAGATCTGTGACTCTTGATCTCAGGGTTGTGAGTACAAGCCCCATATTAGGCATAAAGCCTATTTAAAAAAATAAATAAAATAAAATAAATAAAACAGGATCTAATCAACATGTATAGAACACTCTACCCAACAGTAGAATATACTTCTATTTTAAGTACCCATGGAAAATTGTCCAAAGTAGACCATATACCAGACCATAAAACAAACCTCAACAAATTTAAAATAATTTAAATCATATGTTTTCTGACCACAATGAAATCAAACTAGAAATAAATAACAAAAAGATAGCAGGAAAATCCGAACTATTTGGAAACTAAACAACACACTTCTAAATAATTCACGGGTCAAACAGGAAATTCTAGGGGAAATTGAAAAATACACTGAATGAAATTAAAATGAATAGAACATACCAAAATTTGTAGAACACAGGTAAGCAGTGCTAAGAAGGAAATGTATAGTACTACATGCATACATTAAGAGAAAAGGAACACTCTCAAGTTAAAAGATAAAGAAGAGCAAAATAAACCCAAAGAAAGTAGAAAAGTGGGGCACCTGCCTGGCTCAATTGGTAGAGCATGTTACTCTTGATCTTGTTGTTGTAAGTTCAAGCCCATGCTGGGAGTAGAGATTACTTAAAAATAAAATCTTAGGGGCACCTGTGTGGCTCTCAGTGGAGCCTCCAATTTCGGCTCAGGTCATGATCTTGCAGTTTGTGAGTTTGAGCCCCACGTTGAGCTCGCTCTTGCTTTGGATCCTCTGTCTCCCTCTCTGCTCCTTCTGCACTTATACTCTCTCTCTCTCTCAAAAATAAATAAACATGTAAAAAAATGAAAAGTAAAAACTAAAAAAATAAAATCTTAAAAAAAGATAAAGTAGAAGAGAAGGAAATATAAAACAAGAGTAGAAATTAATAAAATTGAAACCAGGAAAAAAATAGAGAAATCAATAACCCAAAAGCTGGTTTTTTGAAAAGATCAATAAGATGACATGAAATACAGAGAAAACATGCAATTTACCAACATCAGGAATAAAACAGGAAATATCACTACAGACCCTACAGACATCAAAAGTATAAGGAAATATAATAAACAACTTTACACACATACATTTAACAATTTAGTGAAAAAAAAAAACAATCCTAAAAAGTTACTTAGTGTACTCCATTTATTTAATTAACTGTTTTGGAAAGATGAAATTTTTAAAATGGAGAATAGATTAGTTGTTGAAGGGGTTAGAAACAGGAGGTATGATAGGAGGAGACTGATGGAGAGAAGAAAATGTGGGTATAACCAAAAAAGCTACAGGAAGAATCCTTGTGTTCTAGATCTTGACTGTGGTGGTGGATTCAGGAACCTATACATGTAATGTTATGTAGAATGAAATAGACAGGCACACAAATGTAAATGAGTATAAGCAAAACTGGGAAAATCCGAATAAGATTGGTGGATTGTATGAATGTCTACTTCCTGGTTGTGATATTGTGGTATAGCTTGCAAGATGTTATCACTGAGGGAAACTGGGTAAAAGTACATGGGATTACTTTGCATTATGTCTTATAACTGCATGTAACTCTACCACTTGCTCAATAAAAATGTTTGCAATTAATAAAAAAGAAAAACCATGTATATCAAATTTATATATGCTGATTAAATATATAATAACTTCATAAATATGAGTAAAACCAGGACCAAATGTTTAAGGGAAATAAATTTGTTCAGTCATTTCAAGCTTACCAAAGTGGCTCTCATTTTCTGTAACATATAGTACATATATAAGTAAAATTACAATATTTATAAATTGAAATGTAAAACAATAAAAACTAGAAATTTACATGTGTTACTTTTATAAACTAATATAACTTAAAAGCTAAATAACTATAACAAATGTTTTGTGATTCAAAAGCCACTCTCATGAAAAACTACATAAAACTACATGAAATTCAAAGAAAAAACAGAAATGATTAAAGCACTTAGGGAAAATATGAAGACAGCGGCTTACATTGTAGATCCAACATATGGATTATTAGTACACCTGAGGAAGAAAACAAAATTATTGGAACAAAAAAAATTAATTTGCAACAGTATTTTGTTAAAACAAAGGGAAACATAAAACTATAGATTAAAGTGGTTTACTGTGTTCCAGAAATAAATAGGTGATAGATAGATAGATAGATCGATAGATCGATAGATAGATAGATAGATAGATAGATAGATAGATAGATAGATAGACAGACAGACAGACAGACAAATGGCTAATACAGATCCTGGTAAAATCATCTTCTCTGGCCATAAGTAAAAGACAAATATGATTTAGGGATAAAAAAGCAAAAAAATCAAGTGGCTGCAGATTTCTCTAGCAACTCATTTGCCAGAAGAAAATGGAACAATATCTGTGGAAGCTTAAAGGGAAAATGTTAAGACCACAAAATTCTATAAACTGTGATGGTACCTGGAAGATGTTTTCAAACTTGGCAATGACTTTGTAGGTCTATCTCTCCCAGAAATTCTGCCAAGGGAAATGGAGTGTAAGGTGGCGACATAGGCAGAAACTGTTTATAGATAGTCTGTCATGTGTCCTGCAGAGCTTAAGTCTCAAGACTTTTGGAAAATCCGCAAATAACTAAAATTACATTCTTTAATGACCTAGTCAATTTATTCCAGAATAGACTGCCTGACTGGTCTTTTGGACAGCCACCAGCTAATCACCTTAATTAGAAAAACAAAATTCTTTCTAGTCTAGCACCCTTTTCCCCCCTTCCCCTCTTCCCTTTTTTCTTATATAAATTCTCTTTTTGTTGTCTTTTCATTTCTTTTTTTTTTTTTTGTCTTTGTTCACTGATAAGAATCTCATGAGTGTCCTTGGTGTACTTGGTAGTTAGTTTTACAACTCACTAGATGGTTCTAAGTTATGCGTTTCCCTTCCTGGGAAGCTATCAAAAGACATAATGCAGACAAACAAGAGATGAATAAAAACAAGTGACTCACAGACTGGGATGTCATGAGAGAAAAGGCTTCATGATGAACATTTAACTTGGTTAAACATTTAATTAAATGAAATAATCACAGCAAGAAAATGGTATACAAATATTATAATTCTTGAAAGGAAGGCTATAGAATGTAAAAAAAAAAAAAAAGCAATTTTTTTATCACAACAGATTAAGACAGGAGCCCCAAAATGCATTCTAAACTGTGGAAGAAGGAGGAAGGGTGTATAATTGACAAAGTCAGTAAGTACTATTTTTTCCAAGTAACTGGCAGAGGCTGGGGACATTAGTTAATAAAGAAAACTGATTGTATAGCAAAATATAATACAAGGAGGAAAAGAAGCTTTAAAAGTAGAGGAAAAAAAGAAGTGATGGAAATAACCCTAAATAAAGCTTTTGTAGCGAAACCACAAATGGGATAGATTCAATTATATTATGAACATTGAAATTGATTCAAAGAGCAAAATATCATTCTATATTCTTTACCAAACTCACACCAAGGACAACTCTATGCAAATTCATTCAAGGATCTCATTGAAATAGTCAAAATACCACATGGAACTTAAGGGGGAAACACTCAAGACACCACATTCATTTCAGAGCAAGCCAGTGATATTCACCACTGTCTTTTTTGACCATTTATTCTAGAGGGACTAGCAAAAGCAATTCGAGGAAAGAAAGAAAGAAAACCGGAAAAGGTGGGAAATTTGATGAGGGCCAATTATCATTGTTTGCAGAATATTTATTTATTTACTGAAAAATCCAAGATCAACGAAGAAACTCTTAATAAGCAAGAACTGTCCCCAGAAATGAAGACCATCTGGAGCAGAGGCAGTGGGAATGCTAGTAGAAGGGCAGAGAAAGGCAGGAGTGGGGAGGCTGGGGAGAAGCAGCCAGAAGAAGAAAGGAAGGAGAAATCCACAGAGTCCCTGCTCTACCTGATTGGCCTCCGTGTGTGCCATCCCTGTTGTGGAGGGTCCCCAACACAGCCCCAATCTCTCTGAAGCTGTTTGTTGTCCCTGGGTTCCCAGGGGACCACCACCTCAGCTTGCCAGAGTTCTAGCCCCCTTCTTAAAGGGCCAGAGTAACAGGAACCCAGATGGGGAAGGAGGGGGTGGGGGAAGGGTCTCACTGGTGGGCTGTGGGGCCCAGGCCTGTCCTCATTTCAGTCTCTAGGCTCCTGCCAGGGACTCCTTAACAGGATGTGACTGCATGTGTTTACACACTCACCCAAACCCACATCCGTTTTCCCTAGTTCAAGTGCCACCTCATATCAGGTCCTATTGTGCAGCAGGACCTAGAAGACAGGAGGGAGAGATAAATAGTAAGAGTCTGTAAAGGCAGGGGGATGGGCACCTGAATGGCTCAGTCAGTTAAACATCTGATTCCTAATTTCAGCTCAGGTCATGATCTTGAAGTTTATGGGTTTGAGAACCATGTTGGGCTCTGAGCCTGCTTGGGATTCTCTCTCTCCCTCTCTCTCTCCCCCCACCCCTGCTTTGTGCATACACTTTTAAAAAATAACTTTGTAATGGGGCACCTGGGGGGCTCAGTCGGTTGAGCATCCGACTTTTGGTTTCAGCTCAGGTCATGATATCATGGTTCATGAGTTCGAGCCCTGTGTAGGGCTCTGTGCTGACAGTGCGGAGCCTGCTTGGGATTCTTTTCTCTTCTTCTTCTTCTGCCCCTACCCTGCTCATGCTTTCTCTCTCAAAATAAATAAGTAAACATTAAGAAAAAAAAAAAGACTTGATAACAGCATAGGAAGTGCCTGTGTTCAAAAGTTCAGCAAAAACACAGGGCACAAAACTGATGTTCTGGAATTTAAAAAAGACAACAGAAAAAAATATTGGAAGAAAACATACACAAATGTGGGCAGTGGGTGTCCCTGACTGGTTTTATTATGAGCTGTTTTGTTCTTTAGACTCCTGCACCTTTCACGCAAATTTTCTTAAAATATTTCTATAGAATATGTGTATTTCCATAATATATGTAGAAACATATGCTATTTTTATAAGCAGAGAAGACACACTTATTTTTTTAATCTTCCCAAATCATTCAAAGTAACACTACACGCAAATTTAGCAAAAGTTTTAAAACTTCACTCACCAGACATTTTTTTTTTTTTATGTTTTATTTATTTCTAGGAGAGAGAGAGAGACAGCATAAGCAGGGGAGGGTCAGAGAGAGAGGGAGTCACAGACAGAAACAGGCTCCAGGCTCCGAGCTGGCAGCCAGCACAGAGCCCGACGCAGGGCTCGAACCCACGAACCGCGAGATCATGACCTAAGCGAAAGTCGGACGCTTAACCGACTAAGCCACCCAGGCGCCCCATCACCAGACATTTTTAAAATGACCCTCCCTTAATTGCAAAATCCACAGACTGCCAGCCGTCCCCAGTGTAGTTACCTTCAGCAGGATCTAATTAACAGGAGCGAAGGCAGTGGGAGATGTTTGGGCTCAGCATCCTCATTTACTGGGCTCCTACTGTTGGCCTGGCACTTTCCATGACATTACCATGTCATCTCCATTGAAATGCTAAGTAGTGGTTTCCACGCCCACTTTACAGACATGAAATTGGGACCCCAGTATTCAGTAAATGGCCCACCAATGATCTGCTATTAAACAACAAAGCTGGGACTCAAATCCCGAGGAATGGTCTCAAAGTTTGTGCTCTGTCCCTTATTCTGGTGATTTCCCAACACTCACCAGCTGTGGAACCCTCAGTCCAAACAAATGCCACCTGATGTCTTAGTTTGGTCAGCCTGCCATCACAAAATACTTCAGACTGGGTGGCTTTGACAAAGAACTTTTTTTCCCCCCACAGTTCCAGGGGCTGAAAGTCCAAGATCAAGGTGCTGGCAGGGTGGGTTTCCTCTGAGATCCCTGCTTCTTCACATGGTTGTCCTTCTGTACATGTGCACCCCCTGGTGTTTCTCTGTATGGCCAGATTTCCTTATTTTATAAGGACATCAGCCATATTGGATTAGGGCCCCCAACAGCCTCATGTAATCACTTCTTTAAAGGTCTTATCTCCAAATACAGTCACATTCTGAGGTACTGATGGTTAGGCCTTCAACGTATGAATTTTGAGTGAGCACAAATTAGCCCATAAGATCTAGACTCTAATGTGTAAATGTGTCCCATTGGGGCCTGGGAGGCCCAGAACCCTACTCTGCATTCACTCCCTAAAAGCCCTTATAGGCTCAAGGAAGAATAATTGGAAAATCACTACTTTTTACAGCTTTGAAAAGAGAAAAAAAATACTCAAAGAAACTCAGTAAAATAGAATTCCACACATGAGCCATTTCTGTGAAAATACAGATGGAGCCATCAGCTGATTTAATACGAAGACTGCCACATTTCATGTGATATTTTCCTCATCATCCCTCCACACTGGCCAGAAAAAAATTATTTTTTGCCTCACCCAGTTCTCAAACTGCAAGGATAGAAAACACCCCAGGAGGTAGTAAGCTTTGTTCTTATACATGTATATTCAAAGATGAAATATTAAGTATTTTGGTTTCATAACCAGCATATTGGGTGGTGGATAATCCACTCTGGGGAGTGTATTATTTTTAAACATCTTCTTCCTCTAAACAACCAAACTATTTTTGTTATCACACAGTAATCTGTAATAATCACTACTGTCTTGATTCATTCTTTAGCAACAATTAACATTAAAAAATAAATTTTAATTTAAAGATATTCAAATTCAGTAAAATATTTCATGCATGAACTAAAATTTGTTAACTTACCACACAAAAATATGCCAAACACTTTGTATTCTTTCATTGTTTTAAATCTTAAACACAAGTAAAACTCATAATTAAAATAACATAATTACTGTAACTCATGCTGTTTCTTTTGTATTTTTCAAAGTTTATTTATTTATTTTGGAGGGAGAGGGGCAGAAAGAGAGGGAAAGAGAGAATCCCAAGCAGGTGCTATGCTGTCAATGAAGAGCTTGACATGTGGCTTGATCCCAAGAACTACAAGGTCATGACCTGAGCTGAAATTAAGAGTTGGACGGAGCCACCCAAGCACTCCACCTTTTGTATTTATAATTGCTCTACTATCCTCTATGATTCTGAATCTACTGTTTAAACACAGGAGTATGGGGCACCTGGGTGGCTCAGTCAGTTGGGTGTCCAACTTTAGCTCAGGTCATGATCTCACAGTTGATGAGTTTGAGTCCGGCATCATCCTCTGTGCTGACGGCTCAGAGCCAGGAGCCTGCTTCCGGTTCTGTTTCCCTCTCTCTGCCCCTCCCTCATTTGCTTTCTGTCCCTCTCTCTCTCAAAAATAAATAAACCTCAAAAAAATTTTTTAAACACAGGAGTATGTATTATACTGGTTGAAGACATGAATTGCATCTAAAATGAGCTTTAAATCCAAACTATTAAGAACTTCCTTTCAAAACGAATTTGACAGCCCACTCTATCATTGTGAATTCCCTGAATTAGCTTCCAAGTACAAGGTTTGCTAAGAGGTAGTCATAAAGATGTTCCATTTGAAGCTTACATAACCACAGCCATTATTTTGAACATAGACCAATAAATTATTTTTTCAGAAAAGCATTTTATTGCCCACATGGTTTAGAATTGCCAGCACATGGTGATAATAAAAAGCAGACTGGATTTTATTATTTTGATATTATCTGTAGAAAAATACATCCCCCTGGGGCACCTGGGTGGCTCAGTCAGTTAAGCGTCCGACTTCAGCTCAGCTCATGCTCTCACGGTTTGTGGGTTCGAGCCCTGCGGTGGGCTCTGTGTTGACAGCTCAGAGCCTGGATCCTGCTTCGGATTCTGTGTCTCCCTCTTCTCTCTTCCCCTCCCCGCCTCAAGCTCTGTCTCTCTCTGTCTCAAAAATAAATAAAACATTTTAAAATAAAAAGACAATGCATCCCCCTAAGCCTGCACCTGGACAGAGGGCCCCCTCTGCTGGTCCTCACTGGATTGGAATCAGAATGCAGGTCACGTTGAGAGGAGAAATCTGGAGGAGTCTGAGAGACATGAAATGGTAGAATCAACAGAACTTGCTGGCTCTTCTCTTTCAGTTTCCAAGATACTACAGGTTTCCGATTTCTTCCTTCCCACTAGTGGTGACTCTTTTTTCTTCTGGGCTCCATTTCTTCTAGTCAATCTGTAAAGGTCAGCATGCCTCAGGACTCCCCCCTGGCTCCAGCTCAAGTTTATTCCTCTCCTGGTTTCACCATCTCAGTAAATGGAGCAGTATCTACCCCATTGTTCCGAGCCAGTCATCCTTTATCCCTCCCTTTCCTTTCTACCTTACCCCAAGCCTTTGAGAACCTGTGTGTCTGTCTCCTGCATACATCTGGAAACTGGCCTCTTGTGACACCCACCTCCTATCTCTCCAAATTCCAGATTGAAGTCCTAATCCTTAAAACCTCAACATGTGACTGCATTGGGAGATAGGGCTTTTAAAAAGATGATGACATTAAAATCAGTAGGGTGGGCCCTAACCAGTATGCCAGTGTCCTTGGAAGAGAAATTTGGAAACAGACATTTTACCAGGTTAAGAAAATTTCCTTCTCGGCCTAGTTTATTCCTTGTATTAAATCATAAATGACTGTTGAATTTTATCACATGCCTTTTCTGCATCTATTGAAGACTTTGTGAAACATTCTTTAATTTGTTAACCTGGGCAGGGCTGTCAATAGCCCGGATGGTACCTTTGTGTGATGAGAAGGTGCTCCTCCCGCCAGGTGGACATAAACCCATGCCAGGGCCCACAGCTTGGCAGCAAAGCTTGAACTGATTTTTAGCCCCATTCAACCCTTCACACAGATGGGTTGATGCCCACATATATGTTGCACCCTATGAGGAGTCCAGCTCCAGGCCAAATCGTATATGTGACCAGGCCTGACTACGGACAACTAAAAAGGCTTTTCTGGGTAGCCCTCATGGGGTAGTGGGAGTGGGGAAGCTGCCTTCCCAACAGACTTGATGCACGGCTTGTGCTCTGCGGTGTGGAGGGGTTTAGTCAAGGACTCAGCTCCCCAGCCCGCTCCACTGACCTTGCTTTTACATATCCCTGCAGTATCTACATCCCTAACCTAGGATCCTCCACTGAGGAGGCTGGGGGTCAGCTGAGACTACTCAGATTGCCTCTGCATCTGGCCCTTCTCGCTACACTCCCCTTGGTTTCCAGCTC